AATATTTAATCCTTTTAGCCAAAGGCAATTGTAATGGTAAACTCTAAGAATGGGTCATTAGCTTCAACTCTTTGCTTTTTGATAGTGATAGAAAACTACCTATTGGACCCACACTGGGGAAAAAAGTGAAAGAAAGGAATTGGTTTTCAGTAAGGCTCTTGGGCTCTTAAAACGAGAATTTACATATACTGATTAAAAAACAGGAGTGCTGGGTGGGTCAGTCAGTTGGGCATCCTACTACAGCTCAGGTCATGATCTCACAAGTTCAATATGAGATCGGGAGCTCGGCCAAGGCTAAAAGGACAGCCTTGCATTAGAGCCTGGAGCCTGCTTCGGAATCTGTGTCTCCCTCCCTCTCTGCCCCTCCCCCACTAATGTGCTCTCTCTGTCTCTCAAAAATGAATAAACATTAAAAAACTTTTTTTTAAATAAATAAATTAAAAAAAAACCAAATATGACTGAATAGGCAAGGAGAGACCTTCTTCCTTCCCCCATCCTCTCCACACAGGTAAAGAATATTCTGTGGCTTGCAGGTTGCAGCTTTATGAACAGAGAATCAAGGAAAAGGTCCATCAGCAGAAGACTGTAGACCTCCAGGTTTCAGTGGCACAAAGGGCAGTTCTTGACCTTTCAATTGCCCTGTTCAAGTTTACATTGCGGGTTTCAGACCCTTTCAAAGTTTCTGAGAACATTTTGTCTTTTATTCTTATCTTTGAGAATTGCCCCTGATCCTCTTTCCCTCCTCTCTCCCAGTTTTATTCTTGGTACATACAATGATAACACCCTTTGTGCCATCCTCTGTGTCACTGACAAGGATGTCACAACTTTGAACCTTCTTGGACGTCTTCCACCCAAGCCAGTCTGGTGATCTGTTTCTTTTTCACTAACACTGTAGTTCCTTGATGGAAATGGTTGTGCTAGCAATGAGCTCTCCCTTTTAGAGTCCATGTGTGTATCCTCACCTATCAGTGAAAGGAATTTTGTGACTCATTAATTTAAGAAAAATCAGAACTGTATGCCCCATGGACCATTGTATTACACTTTCATTTCTTTATTTCACGTATATAGATAATAATAATCAATATTGTCTCTTTCTCTCTGTCTCTTTTCATTCGCCTGGTGTTTACTCTGTCTAAAAAAAGACACAAATTCATTATTTAGCATTTTTAGCAATGACATGAGGGGAAACAGAAAGCAAACTTAATTATGAGTCTAGAGAAGACATTATTCTAATGATTGAACAATGTTAGAGGAGATGATTGGTTGACATCTTGAAGATCAACCTAAAATGTCACAGTAAGCAGGAAATTCTGCATGCCACCACAGAATGAAAGGGAGGTCCCAATTCAGGGTTACATGCTGAGGAAGTGTAAAAGGCCCCCATCGATGAGGAGTAACTGGCTATAGACTAGCGATATGTAAAAGGTAAACATTTAAACGTAAACCAGCATCATGGCGACTACAGATCAGCAAAAGCAAAATGTCATCAGTGATGCCAATAAAAGAGCCCAGTGAAAGGACTCAGAGAATCATCTCCTGCACTCAGAGGTGGTGCCATGAATACTCCTCATTAGTTACAATAGTCGGTCTCATTGAGAGATGTGATAGTTGATGGGATTTTTTGAATTTGTTGTGGGTAAGTCATTGTGGTATTGCCCACCACATCACATTTTATTAGGATCTGCAAGAACAATTTATTTCTCACTTAGAACTATGTTGAATCTTGGGAATTGTTTATGTTCCCTCCTTACTTTGGTCTATAGAAACTCACAGCTGAAACTGAAATCTATCATGAGTAGATGTGTTGGACTTTCTAGAATTTTGGCTAGCTAAAATTTATTCTGCCCTTTCCAGAGCCAGGCACTGTGATAAAGTAGTCTATCCATTGTCTCTATAATTCCCACTTTGATTATGTGTGGTAGGCATTAAAATTACTCCCTTTTTACCAGAAAAGAGACAGCTTAGCAAGTCTAAGTCACTAGAGCATGATCACCGCACTAACAAGCCAAGGAGTGGGAATGGTGTTCATGCGACTGAACTTGTAATCACTAGGATGCACTGGTGTAGCTTAATCTGATCCTTATGATTTTTTTCCTAGTTTATTTGTTTATTTGTTATTATACTGCCTTGCACCTAACTCTGCCAGCAGCCTCCGAGATGTTTTTTGTACTAGATAGAACATATACATCTCGAAAGAGTTAAAAATTTAACTGTGAGGAAAATTAAATTAATCCAAACACTCCATAGACAAAGTTCCTCAATTAATTGAAAACCCTATTTGTTTCACCTCCTGTTGTTAAAAATACATTTTTAAGTGGATTAATGTTATTCACTTGATGTTCCCAAGGGATATCCCCAAGACCTTGAAAATGGCCAAATTCTGGAATTTTACTATAAAAAACAACAAAGCCAAATTGTGATTCAGATGACATACACTCAACTAATGTCACTTACTTACTAAGGGTTATTTGTTCTTTTGTTTGTTTTGCCTCCATTCTCTAGCCTGCAATTATATTCACAACAAAACTGAAATCTGTTATGGGTTTTTAAGGCAATTTTTGAATAGTTAAAACCGACCTGTTAAAACTAAGACTCCAACAGTCATTTCTTCTCTTTCCCACTGTGATGACCAGACCACTCAGAGAATGTTATTCTGAACTACAATTTATTTTTGATGGCTGTCTTTCTCTGAAACCCTTCATCCAATCTGTCAGGAAAATATGCTGTTTCAACCTGCAAAATACATCCATAAGCAGACACTTCTCCACACTACCACCATATGGTCACTCATGTTCAAGTTACCCTCACCTCCAGCCTGCTGTTCTGCAGCAGCTTCCTGACTGGTCTTCCTGTTCCTGCCTTTGCCCCTCTCCACTGTATTCAGCACAGCAGCCAGGGTGATCCATTCAAAATATACATAAATTTATCTAAGTATAAGTGTCTCTCTTCTGGTCAAAATCTTGCAGCAGCTCCCTATTTCACTAAGAGGGAAAGGCAATATGTTTTTAAACAATGGATAACAAGGCTCTACATGAGCTTAGCTCCCATCTGACCTCCTCTCTTAACATTGCTCCACGCGGGCCTCCTTGCTGTCCCTTGAACACATCAGATGTGTTCTTAAGGTCTTTAGGACATTTGCTCTAGCTGTTTCTGGAAACTGCTCCTCTTCTGAGCAAACTCCTTCACTCCTCTAAGTTTTTGCTCAACTATCACCTACTCAGTAAAGCTTTTCCTCACCACATACTAAATGCAAGTTCCATCATCCCTAAGTCTTTGGTTCTGCAGATTCCCCTTATTCTACCCTACTACACCTGTTTTCTTAAGTACTTAAAAAATGTTTTAATGATCATTGCAATTCACTCGTTTGTTTTCAAATCTCTAATTTTCTCTTCCCCCATTAGACTTGAAACTACATGAGGGCAGGAATCTTTGTTTTGTCCACGGATGTATCCCAACTACCAAGAAGAGTGGCTGCCTTTAATAAAAACTTGTTGGATGAATAAATGAAGGTCGCATGTTTATACAAGAGAGATGAGTTAGGATATTGGGGATTTGATTATTCAGTGACTTAATTGTCATATTATTTGTCTGTTTCTCCTAAAAGAAGAACACAGACTCAACTCTAAAATTGGAAACACCCCCAAATTCATGAACTGAGATTTGATTAAATAAATCCTTTCTTAGAAACACAAGGTAAGATAATTCTTGAATAAAAGGATAAATTTGTGGCCTTTGGAAGTAAATCCTTGGAAAAATTATGAGGAAATAATGTTAAATGAAAAAATAACAAAATCTTCTATATAGGGAAATATGATTTTGGTTGGCATTGATTTAGGCAGACATTTCTGGTTTTTTTTAATCAGCTCGTGAGGTTCAGGTGAGACTGACTCTGCTCCAGAGATGAACACGTAATCCAGAATGGCCAGTTGGAATTTTCTGATTTCCTGGCCATGGCAATTGCTTCAAGGATGGACTTAATTACAAATTGGGCAGTGGGTTGTCTAGTTTTGTTACAGCTATTGGGAAATGAGGACTTTCTGTGTGTGTGATTACCAGCTCTAAAAACAATGAAAGTGTAGGGCTTCTATTGACATCTTTGAAAATTAGGCCAACACAGAGGACGGCATAGCTATAAGATGAAGAAAAAAGAGATCGATATCAGATGATGTTGTTTAACATCAGATGATGTTGGATCTACCTAATTTGAGTTATATTCTTTCCCTTCTGGCTGAAAGGATTTTGACTAGTACAATCCTAACTGATTATAATTCTGTAGAACTTGTATTTAAAATAAAAAAATCATGGGGCTCCTGGGTGGCACAGTCGGTTAAGCGTCCGACTTCAGCCAGGTCACGATCTCGCGGTCCGTGAGTTCGAGCCCCGCGTCAGGCTCTGGGCTGATGGCTCAGAGCCTGGAGCCTGTTTCCGATTCTGTGTCTCCCTCTCTCTCTGCCCCTTCCCCGTTCATGCTCTGTCTCTCTCTGTCCCAAAAATAAATAAATGTTGAAAAAAAAATTTTAAATAAAAAAATCAAGTGTAGGGGCGCCTGTGTGGCTCAGTCAGTTAAGCATCTGACTTGGTTTCAGCTCAGGTCATGGTCTCACATTTCATGCATTTGAGCCCCGCATCAGACTCTGTGTTGACAGTGCAGAGCCTGCTTGGGATTCTCTTTCTCAATCTCTCTCTCTTTCTGCCCCTCCCCCACTTGCTCTCTCTCAAAATGAATAAATGTAAAAAAGTTTTTAAAAATCAAGTGTATATAGTCTTAGTTATTTCTCTTATATAATTAGCAAGAGATTTCATGGAATTTGATCAAGATTTTTTTATGATGAGAATATTCTTTTTTCTTCTTTTTCCCTCTAAAATTGGATTAAACTGTTAATAAAAAGTAAAGCTCTGGAGTTAATCAAAGCTCTTCTGTTTAAGCTTTACATTTAGGTTAATGAAGTTTTTGCAGTCAGCTGTTTAACTGCTATGAGAAATGTATAAATAGTACTTACTCTATAATCTTGTGTTTGGATTGTACAGAGAAATCACAGTAATCCACTCCAATGTCTGTAAAGTCCACGAAAGTGGAAGACAAAATCTGGAATGCTCGAGGATTTTTTTCCTTGAGCTTTCGGCATACATTAAACCCATCTACAATTTCTGAATCACCCCCCGTGACTGTTTGTTTTATGCAGTGCAGAAGCTGAACCTGTGAAAAGAAATAGAGAAATGTCTTTTAAAATGATAAACACACTTTTTGACACTGTTAAAGATTCAGACAGATACGAATGCACTAAAGTCAACAAAACTTTTAAATCTCTTTTGTGTCAGCAGGCAAAGGGATTGGAGAGAAAAAGTTGCTTTTAATCAACACACTATAGTTCAAACATTGTTTCAGCTTGAGACATGAACACAGGCATAATAATTTTCGTTTGTAAACAAAAGGCACAGATCATAATGGCTACAGGGAGTGAACACTTCATATTGGAATATTTATGTACATCATATTGGCTTTACAGAGGTGGTGGGATTTAAACTGGGAAAAGGAGGCTGGATAAGATTTTGGACAGTTAGAGGGGCGCCTGGGTGGCTCAGTCGGTTGGGCTCCTGACTTCCGCTCAGGTCAGGATCTCACAGTTTGTGGGTTCAAGCCCCATGTTGGGCTCTATGCTGACAGCTCAGAGCCTGGAGCTTGCTTCAGACTGTTTCTCCCTCTCTCTCTGCTCCTCCCCTGCTTGCGCTCTGTCTCTCTCTCTCTCAAAAATAAAATAAACATTAAAGAAAATTTTGAAAAGATTTTGGATAGCTAGAGCAGAATGGAGAAAGCAAATCACATGCAGTGATCATGATATGAAAAAATGCACGCTGAACGGGATATCAAAATGTTTGCCTGCAATAGGGGGTCATGACTGAAAAGAATGTCACGACTGAAAAGAATAGACCCAGTTGAAAAGGTAACCGAAGCCCTCATCATGGCATCTTGAATGTCAGATGAAGAATATTGGGCTTTCTCTTGGGTACAGAGGGGAATGGTTAAAGGCTTGTGAATATGGATGTAAGGTAGCCAAGACTGAGTTGAAGAATATTAATCTGGGGGTGCACATAGGATAAATTTTTTTAAAGGGGGGAGTTAGTGAGAAAGTACCTCCTTAAGAATTTAATGAGACAGTTCAGGTATAAGGATACAAAGGGAATGGAGGTTAGGTGGGGCTATGAGAATGAATAACCCCAAGAAACACTGGGAATAAGAAACCAAACCGATAGTTATTTTTACTAAGATTTAGGGAGAAATGTTTGACATTATTTATTTTGAAAAGCAAAAAATAGTAAAATTTTAAAATATCATTTTTTGAATGGAGTTTATATGACTCCTTTTGGTAAGTTAGCAAGTGTGAGTGATTTTGAATACCTAATTTAGACTCAGCTTTTCTGCTAAAAGAAACGAACACTATTTAGCTGTGAAAACTTCATTCTAATTTAAATAAAAGTAAAAATCAAGTCTGACAGTTCTTGTAGAAAGAAAGAGGCAAATATGATCAAACATCAAGACCAGGAGAAGCATGAGTGGGAAAAATATCCATTTGGCTTGGTTATTTCCATAGATGGTCTAGAACAGGGCTATCCATTCAAACTTTCTGCAGTGATGGAAATATTCTTTCTGCACTGCCCAATACAGTAGACTCCAGTCCCACATGGCTGTTGTGCACTTGAAATGTGGTCAGTGTGACTGAGGAAACTGCATTTTAAATTTTATTTCATCTTAATTTAAATTAAAATTTAAATGATCACATATGGCTGGTGACTATTGTATGGGATAGTGCAGATCCAGAAGACAAATCCTGCTTTCTTTCCCCAAAAGGCACAGATCTTCTCACTATTTTAAATCTTATACATACTTGTTCTCAAATTATAGTTGTACGTTTATCAATTCCTTACAACAGTCCTTAGAATTTGATACTTTCATCTCCATTTTATGGTTGAAGAAACTGACACCCAGAAGTGAAAAAGCTGGGCAGCTAGTAAGAACGTAGCTACTACCTGGTAATACTGACATTCAAACCTTGATCTATTTACTTCAAAATCTTCATAAAGCAAGTCCTTTCCTATAAAAGGGGAAATCCCTTTACAGGACTCTTAATAATTCAGTATTGTGTGGTGTGTGTATGTATGTGCTTTGTAAACTTAAATTCCCATTTCAGGTTGACAATGCCCTTTTTTCTGATGTTAGGGGAGCATTAGTCTAAATTAATAATGGTTCTGCCTTTAAATTGATGCCAATTTGTAGGCTTGAAAAAGTATGTACATAAGCTGACCAAGTCATCTTAGAAAACCATTTCATCACCAGGCTATGAAGGGTCAAGCAGCATGATTAACGAGGGAGAAATGAAGACACCAACCTCAAGTCTACCAAACTCTAAAAAGGCAAAATAATGACAGACCTCTCTCTTTGAGAGAATCAGTGTTCTTTCAATCCTCTTAGATTTTGCCATAATGAAGTCACAGAATATTTCAAATATAAATCTTTAAAACAGATCAACCGATGTCTTTTACATAGATGCAATCTTAAGAAAGAAAAAAGATGACTGATGCTGCCAGACAACACTTCCACGGCTAATTCAAAAGGTAAATAGGTGCCTGATGTGTATAAAATCCAATTTTATTTCATGTAAGTCACTCAGGACCAAAAACATTTTCTTTCTAAATGTTACTTTATGGCAGCATGTGACTTTTGGCCAAAGACAGTGAGCAAAGGAACATCCGTTTCATTAAAGATGTGTCTCCTTATCTCTGCCCCACATGATCCAAATTGATGAAACTCCACTTTCAACAGGTAACTTACTATTCAGATCATTTCATCTGCACTGAAAAGAAAAGCGACTTATTCTATATGTCATAAAAAACCTCAAACTTTAGTACAGAGACCCCTGAATGATTCAAAATGGAAACTTGAACAATAGCACAAACAGGTGCCTACAATCTAATTGTTCCCGTACTACAATCTAGACATTTTAGGAATCATCTTTCATTTGAAAATCTTCTGTCAGGTCTTTTATCCTTGGATGTTTCACTTGCTAACAGAGACAGGTACAACTCTGCGGTGTTTCTCTGCCTCTTTATAGCATATCTATGAAGTCTCTGTTACATGAAAGGTGCTGGGTTAATCTCAAGATACAGAAAAGTGTAAGATTCAGTTCCTGTATTTGACGAGTTTTTAATGTATGACAAAGCCTATGCTCATCACATTATACCAATTATGGTAATTAGAAAGTCCAACTCAAGACCAGCATGGTGTGGTGAAAAACTATACAGAGGCCTGGATTAAGTTTCAAGTGTTCTGTTAGTCAGATGTCACCCTGTGAAAGCATTTAACCTTGCTGTGTGTCATTTCACCCTCATTTCATTATTCCAACATAAAAAGGCATAATCGTCTCCCTTACAGAATGTTAGGAGGGATCAAAATAATATAAGTAAAAATACTTTGAAAAAGTATAAAATGCTATGAAAATGTCAAGCATTATATTATATTTCAAGAATATTTGTAAATCACTTAAAAATGTGATTATGTAATGACTTTCCTTAGGCTTTCAATTGTAACCCAGCAATAAAACCTGAACTCATAAAAACTAGCAGATGATTTAAAAATTAAAATAGAATCTTTAGTTTTCTAGTGTAATCTTTTTTATTGCATCCAACTTCTCCAACCTGTCTTTGGTTGATGAACTGAGCTGATTAGTTTGGCTTTTAATCCCAAATTTTAGCGAATCTCTGGGAAACATTTAGAACAAATCACATTGTGTGTCTTCACTGGCCCCTCATCTCCACCCAAAAGGTGACTATAGGACTCCTGTCACTGTCATCATTTTGTCCAAAAAAATCATGTGGTGTTTTACAGTCAACAAAATAATTTAAAACATGTGAAATTAAATACTAAAACTAGCTTAGTTAACACTGGCGAGGAAAATGGGTTAACTAGGGCATGGAGAAAACTTGTTCAGTTAACATGATGAAGAAAAACAGATTAATTTTGATTTTGGCCCATTTTGCCTTCACTGGCTAGAGAATTGCTCAAAATGTCCAGTTCTGCTTACCTTTGAAGATACAGATTTCTGTGTGGAGATTTCATTTAATCTCATTTAGCTATAAAAATAGGAACAAGATATCTTTCAAAGGTATCGTTCTGGCCATTTATTTCTTGGTTTAACAAAATGATGCTTTTGTAAATATGTTGCTGGTTTAGTAGAATGGCAATTTTGTAAAAATGCAGTGGCAGAGCATCCTTCCAGAAATTGTCCTGGAGGGTTTGTGGCTCCATGCTAAGCATCTCCCTCCTTGAGGAGCAATCCGATACATGGGAGAGTAGATGGTTTCCAAATACAGTAAAACCTTGGTTTGCGAGCATAATTCATTCCAGAAACATGCTTGTAATCCAACGCACTTGTATATCAAAGCGAATTTTAAGAACCATTGGCTCACTTGTGGTCATGTGACATTTGGCATCACGTACTACTCATATTGCAAGACATGCTTGTTTATCAAGTTAAAATTTATTAGAAATCTTTGCTCATCTTGCAGAACAGTTGCAGAACAAGTTACTTGCGATCCAAGGTTTTACTGTACAGCCATGGTTATTCTGCTCCTTGAATTCCCACCCCTTTGTAGTGAGTATTTGCAGCTCATAAAAGGTGGGGTTTACTTCCTCACCTTTTGAAGGTAGGCTAAACTTATGATTTCTTTAGATTAATAAAACATGGCAGAGGTGACATTGCACTGATGACTAATGGAGATCTCAAGAGGCCTTCATGTTTTGGCTTGCTCTCTGAAAATTTGCATAAGCCTGGGCTAGCCTGCTGGTGGATAGCAGATTAAGTAGAGCAGAGGCAAGACACCTTAGGTTTTCCACACAGGTCAACCAGTTCTTAGCCAGCCCAACAGCAGAACTGTCCAGCTGGACATAGCCTGAATTATAAAAACATGTGCTAAGCAAATGGCTATTCTTTTAAGCCATTAAATTATGAAGTGGTTTTTATGCAGCAATCGTTAACTGATACAAATGATGGCCATGTGACTTTATGGGAAAACCCTCAATTTTATTCCCTGGTTTTATTTTCTCTTTTAAGTCTCTTGGGAACAGTAAATATGCAAAAAGACCTCAAGATGCACTGCTATCATAAAATTTGTCTAGGCAAAGCAAAATGTGCCAATAATTATTTCCACAAAGAAACAAAGAAAATTTTTTTTAAATACATGAAAATCTTCTCTCCCTTGGGAATGTTAGGCTATTCAAGATTTAGGTATAGACATTTTGTTTGGATTGTGCTTGAAGATCTACATAAGACAGATTAGTTAGTGAAATATATGGACTTGTAGACTCAAAATATAGAAGGATATTGGTCCTTGGCCTGCCTTGTGGAAAATATGTTGAGGCTCACCTTACCCCAGGTGGATGATGGAGGGCTGGATAATCAGTGTGAAAGCTTAGCTTCCCGGTTGTGTAAGCCACATTGTTTGCGTCAATTTTGTCTTGCACTTGCCAAGTATGTCTGTAAAATACAAGAAACATATGTTTAAACAGGCTGTCACCAAGCCAGAGGAAATGTGTTAGAATGAACTGGATACATAGGGGAAATGGAAACTTTTCATTTTATGAAATAATTACCATAATGATGTGAGCCAGGAAGAGAGCTCGACCTTTCCTTGTCCAAAGTAACCATTTCAGAATATGCATCTCCTCCCTTCTTTTCCCTTCTCCAAAGAAAAATACATTTACACATTAGTCTGTCCCACAGAGTTTATTGTAGGTTATGTTTTTTAATAGCTAAATGCATTTAAAAAGCATTTATTAAAGTGAAATTCACAGAACATAAAATGAACCATTTTATGTGGTTTTTTTTTTTAAGTTTATTTTGAGAGATTGAGTGAGCAGGGGAGGGGGCAGAGAGAGATGGAGAGAGAGAATGTCAAGCAGCTCCGTGCTGTCATCACAGAGCCTGGAGTGGGGCTTAATACCATGAACTGTGAGATCATGACCTGAGCTGAAATCAAGAGTCAGATCCTCAACTGAGTCATGCAGCTACCCCAAAATAAACTATAAAAGTGGACAATTCAGTGGCCCTTAAGACATTTCACAATATTGGTAACCATTACTTTTGTTTATCTAGTTTCAAAACATTTCCATAACTCCACATTGAAACCTCTTACCCGTTACAAATTTTCTTTCCATTCTGCCCTTCTCTCAGTCACTGGCAAACACCATATCATAAATCTATCTTTAAGTTTTTGGGGAGCTGCCAAACTATTTTCCATAGTGGTTGGACCACTTTACTTTCCCACTAGCAGTATGTGAGGGTTCCAATTTCTTCACATCCTCATCAACACTTGTCATTTTCTAGTTTTTGTTGTTGTTCTTGCTGCTTCTGTTGTTATTTTTAACCATCTCAGTGGGTGTAAAGTGGTATTTCATAGTTTTGATGTGTATTTTCTAATGGTTAATGATGTTGAGCATCTTTTCATGTGCTTGTTGGCTGTTTGTATATTTACTTTGGAGAAATGCTTGTTCAAGTCCTTTGCCCATTTTTAAATTGAGTGTTGTGTTTTGTTTTTGTTTTTTTTTTTAATTTGTATGAGTACTTTATATAGCCTGGATACTAGAGACCCTTAACAGACATGATTTACAACTATTTTTACCCCTTCTATAGATTGTCTTTTTATTTTCTTAGAAATGATATTTGATGCTCAAAAGTTTTAAATTTTGATGAAGACCAATTCATCTATTTTTGTTGTTGTGTTTTTGATGTTGTTTCTAAGAATCCATTTCCCAATCCAAGGTCATGAAGATTTATCCTAAGTTTTCTTCAATGAATTTTATGGTTTTATATCTAGGTCCTTGATCTCTTTGAGTTAATTTTTGTATGATGTGTGAGGAAAGGGGCCAACTTCATTCTTCTGCATGTGCATATACTGTTGTCTCAGCACCATTTTTTGAAGGGACTGTTCTTTCCTCATTAAAAGGGTTCAGCATCTTTGTTAAAAATCAATTAGCCATGGATGTGTGGGCTTACTTCTGGACTCTCAGTTCTGTTCCATTAGTCTATATGTCTATTCTTATTTCAGCACCACAATATTTTGATTACTGTAGGTTTGTAGTAAGTTTTGTTTGTTTGTTTGTTTTTTATTGTTTTTTTTTTTGATTGGTAGTAAGTTTTGAAATCAGGAAGTATGAATCCTCCAACTTTGTTCTTGTTTTTTTAGGATTGTTTTGGCTATTCAGAGCCCCTTGCAATTTCATATGAATTTGAACATTGCTTTTCCATTTCTACAAGAAGGCTACTGGAATTTTGGTAAGCATTACATTGAATCTGTAGATTACCTTGGTAATAATCACATCTTAATATTTTGTCTTCCAATCCATGAATGTGGGATGTTTTTCAATTTATTAGGTCTTTTTAAATTTCCTTCAGGGGCGCCTGGGTGGCGCAGTCGGTTAAGCGTCCGACTTCAGCCAGGTCACGATCTTGCGGTCCGTGAGTTCGAGCCCCGCGTCGGGCTCTGGGCTGATGGCTCAGAGCCTGGAGCCTGTTTCCGATTCTGTGTCTCCCTCTCTCTCTGCCCCTCCCCCGTTCATGCTCTGTCTCTCTCTGTCCCAAAAATAAAATAAACGTTGAAAAAAAAAATTTCCTTCAGTGTTTTGTAGCTTTCATTTTACAAGTCTTCCACCTCCTTGGTTAAAATGATTCCTAGGTATTTTATTCTGGATGTTATTGTAAATGAAATTTTTTTTTTAAATTTCTTTCTCAGATTGTTCACTGCTAGTGTATATAAACACAACTGATTTCTGTGTATTGGTCTTATATTCTGAAACCTTGCTGAATTCATTAAATACCTCTAATAGCTTTGTGTGTGTGTGTGTGTGTGTGTGTGTGTGTGTGTGTGTGTATGTGTGTGCACATATGCATGCATATTCAATGGGGTTTTCTATATATCGGATCATGCTATCTGTGAAGAGAGATAAATATACTTATTCCTTTCTCATTTGTATACCTTTATTTCTATTTCTTGCCTAACTGTCCTGCCCCAAACTTCCAGTACAATATTGAATAGCAGTGGTGAAAAACAGCACTCTTCTCTTGTTCCTGATCTACAGGGAACATAATTAATTTTTATTTTATTTTCTTTTATTTAATAAAATTTTAATTACACTCAGATACCTATTACTCAGATCAGGAAATATAACTTTAAGCTTATATGTCCTATCCCAACCAGAATCTCTCCTCTCTCTTCTTCAAAGTAACTACATCCATAACTTCTGTATTTATCATTTCTTTACATTTCTGTATGTTTTTACCCTTGCATATGCACCCTCAGACACTATGTTTAATATTTCCCATTAACAACAATTGTTAAGTCTTTCAAGTCTCTTAATCAGGTTTCCCCTCCAGCCTGTTCTTAAAATTTATTGTTTGAAGAACTTGGGAACTTGACCTATAAAGTTCCTCACAGTCTTGTCTTTCCTGATTGCATATCATGGTGTAGTTCAACATGTTTCCCTGTCCTCTGTGTTTCTAGAAAATTGGCAATTAAGTGCAGAGGCTTGGGCAAACTTACTTTCTCTCTTTTGCAAAACTACAGATGACATTGTGCTCTTTTATTCCAAGATACAGAATTTTGAGATGTCTTTCTTTTTGTGATGTTTGTACACACTTATGCTCAGTAGCTAGATCCACTAAAGTTATTGGGGGTCTCAAATAGTGAAATACCAAATTAATGATTTCTTTTTTATTTATCAGTTGGAATACTCTTAAAAAGATCTATCTACTTTCCTTCATCTAGTATTTGGTTACTTTATGTAATAGCTTACTTAGCGATAATGAGATAAATACTTGATTCCTTCACTTTATTTACCATTTTATAATGTGATGGATTAGTTTTCTCTCACTCCAAGATGAATAATTAGTTTTTTTTTTGAAAATAATACTATTGATGAAAATATATTAAAACTAGATAGAGGTAATGGCTTCACAACATTGTCAATGTACTAAATGACACAGGACTGTGTCAGTTAACTTTAAAATTGTTAATTTTATGTTATGTCAATTTTACCTCCAGTACAAAAAAAAATAGCTTGGCTTAAAAGTTAAAAAGAAAGTTAGTAAAAGAACTAAGGATTACTTGCAACTCTGTGGCCAGAAAATAAACCAATATTCAGATTTTGTAAGGCTTTTCCTTTGGAAGATTGAGGTCATGTGTAATTAGAAGCAAGCTGTATTTTAAAATAAGCCAAAGCTGGTGTGAAAATTGTGTCACTATATATGCACATCATTTTATTGCTGTTATAATGTCTATTTATTAATTTATGTTCACATTTATCAAATCATTTTTCAATAAATATATGTTGAACAACTACTCTATTCCAGGCATAGTTTTAGCATTAGAGATATAGCAGGAAACAGGGAGTAAGAGAGACAAATAAACAAGTAATTACCAAATGCAGTAACAGAGATGAGTGCTATGAAGAAAATAAAGCAAGGTAAAGAGGTAAGGATATTGGGGGCCAGGAGAATATCACGGCAGGGATAATGCTTTGGGGGGGTGCTCCAGAAGACCTAGAAGAAAAGAAGAAATGTGAATTTCTGGGAGATGTGTTTTAGAAAGAGGAATCTGAAGTGAAAGGTAGGATTTCTTCCCCAAGTTCTGGGATTGAGGATGAAACTAGCTATTTGGCTCCGTGTTTTTTTTTTTTTTTTTAATTTTTTCCATTAAAATTTAAAATGGAAAGGCTGGTAAATCTTTCAGCAAAGTTTAAAGTACCATCTATATGTGGCCATAAGCTGGAAAGAGACCCAGTGAAAGAAGAGGAGTATATATAGCCTGCTGCAATTCATTTCAAATATGAGTCAGACAATCCATTATACTGTAGTGACTACAGCCAGGAAATACATGTTCTCTATGAATTCATGTCACTCTATGACCCATACCTAATATAGATTCTGGCTCTTGTCACCATCAGCATTCCAAGAATAATCAACATGTAGTAAAGGACTTAAGGATGCTAAAAAAGGAGTTTTATCAAATTGTAGAATATATAATATCTTCTAAGAAGATGATGCTTTTGACATTGTGAGTAGGAAATGACTATATTTAGATTTTCTTTTCAAGAGTGTTGATGGTTTTGCATTGATTCACCTACATTCCCTTTTCTGTTTTCTCCTATGATCAGGGGTAAACTAACTGAAATTCATGCAGCCAAGAGCTGGCTGAGATTCAAGGTGAACGCATTAGCCAGGGAACAGATCTTTTCTTTGTTTGACATTAACTGGCTGTAGAACAGGGATGGGGCCTGTGACTTGGCATCATCAAAACAGTTCTCCAGCCTTCTGTGCTAACTGGCAGAGGATGATAAACATTTTTCAGTCTTAAAGTGTCTTAGGCACGGTATGGGATGTGTAGCCTAAAAGCCTATATGCGCACGTAATGATAAATCCCAGGAAAGGAGCTTGCCAATTCCAATCATAAAACATTCTCATAATAGTTATAGCATAAGTCT